GGGGATATGTACTGGAGGTTGTGGAGATGTACTGGAGGTTGGGGAGAGATGTTAGAGACAGGGAGAGGTGCTGGAGGTTGGGAGAGGGGGTAGGGGTTGGGGAGGTGTTTGGGGTGGGGAGAGGTGCAGGTTAGGGAGAAGGGGTAGGATTCATAGCAAATTAAACTAGTGAAGGATAGTGGATGTTTGAAGGGGGGAGGGGGAGGTGACCCAGGGCAAACCTCCAAACATATCAATTATTGAAGGTGAGATAGGGAATTAAGGGACCAGTCGTGAGGGGATGGGGGTCTATCTGAGGGTCTCCACATGTAGAGTACACTACCGTGTATATCAGTCATCAGGGATTGGGGACTTGTAAGCCTTGGTTTACTTACTGGGACACACATTTCTGTTAATATCGCACTATACTCTGGGACACACATTTCTGTTAATATTGTTGCCATACTCAGAATTAAGCTTGATTATGCTAACTGATATGTGACAAATCATATCACTTGAAACCAGTTACAAAGTTTCTATGTTGAACCTGTGTAGGCGGGCGTGGCAATAACAGACGATGGGACATTGGTCGGGGAGCCAGACGGCCAGGGATTCGGGGTTGGAATGGCTCCCAAAGCGGCTAAAGCTGATCCCTCAGCTGTTGTACAACTTAAGAAGAAGGAACGGGAAAAGGACAGGAAGAGCCGCACAGGGAGGGACACTAAAAGGTGAACAGATGTATTATATTTAGTTTAACTTTTTATTTTTTGGAAGTACACTTAGTGATTGCTTCAAAGACATTCCAACAGCGACAGAATTGGCAGTTTAAATGAATTCATTAAAATGAGTAAGTCTAAATGATCCCATTTCTAAATCTTGTTTAAACATTGTGTATGATCAGATAGGAATGTTTTCTGTCAGTATACCAGTAGCTGGACCTGGATTCAAGTTTGAAAGTTTTTTCATCCAAATATGGTGAAAAATTTATAACAATCTTTGTGATAATGTAAGTTTACTATCATAAAATCACATCTAAGCGCAGTTTCCACAAAAAGTTTATGTGAATAAGTGACTTGCTTATCATGTTTATTGAACTTGAGTAAATTGATTTTTAAATTTAAAACAAAGGAGAAAGAGTTTCATTTCAAAATTTGAAAATCAATTAATAATGCTTGTTAGATAACAAACAAATGTCACTAGTTGTAAAATTACTTTGTACCACACCTCTTTTGTGACATTTTCAAGTGAACCACATCATTGCTTAAAATAATACTCAGGCAGCATAGAAATGTGTTTGAGGTGATGAGTTTACTGATAAGTGATTAATATGCAAAAAAGTTCCTTATGGTGAACTTAAACAGTCATCTGTCATTTATGGGATGGGCTGAACAGGACAAATTGTTATAGAAATCATTCTGATCATATCACTACACGCATGCATCTTGCACACACAGGGGAGGCCATCCTTAAATGACCATAGCCGTTGATAGAACGTTAAACAATATTATTATACCTCTACTTTATTTACTCTATATAAAAGTAATTAGTTAAATCGAATATATCCCCACTTTTGCCTGACTGTGTTTTAGTCATGTGTGTTAGTCTGGGAACTAAAACACACCTACACTCGGGTGTTTCCGCCGAGCCAATCAGGCGAGAGGTGGGCAGAGCTTGTTACCGAATTCGGAACCGACGCGCGAGGTGGGCGGAGCTTGCTACCGAACTCGGAAGCATTTTTGGCTCTATTGTGATCTACAGCTTATGGTTTACAAATAATTTCTAGTTAAAACTATCTCTCCAGTGTGTATATATCGGTATAATAAAACGGTTAAAGTATGGGGTTGAGGGATGTTAGCAAGTTTCTGGTGTCCCTTGACCATGGTCTCGGGACACCAGAAACTTGCTATATCCCTCAACACCATACTTTAACTGTATACTAAACCAAACCAAACCAGATCAGTTTCAATATTTTATATGATTTCCTTGGCAGTCCCACGGGAGGTAAGAGTATCAGCAGCCCCTCTCAGAGTGCTAAGGGAGAGAGGGACATCAAGTCGCCACACCCCTCCGAGCGAGAGAAGAGGGACGACCGAGACGGAGAAGCCCCCACCCCTACCAGTATATCTGGTGTGTCCCGGGCTGACAAGGTCCTCACCAGTACCCCACCTCCCAGATCAGAGGCCTTTGAGGAGTTCAAGGCCGACCGCGGCAGTGAGATCAACAGGGTTCTAATAGAAAATAAACGTAAGTGACTTTTAGAACTAATATCAATGGTGTATTATCTTAGCTGAAATGATTTTCATCTTGAAGAAAATTTATTTTTATGATAATGCTTCAAGTGAATTTGAAGTGGAAAAATAGATTGTATTATTTGTTTGAGGTTGGAATCAGTATTTCTGGGCTCACATTAATGAATATTTCTGTTTTGCCACCTGATTTTCTCATGCAAAGTGTAAATTCACTGGTCTTATATCTCAGATTGGTTACTGTAAATCATTACATTTTGATGAAAATGTATTTTTACGATTATGCTTGCGGTGAGTTTTAATTCCCAAGTGAAACAATACAATGTAGCTAGTATATTGTTTAGGGCTCATATTAAGAAATATTGCTGTGTTTTGCCACTCATTTTTCTCATGCAAATTATGTTTTAAAATTGCCAGATTGAAATTTTGCTTCACCGAATTTCCCAAAAAGTAACCACAAGATAATTATTTGGATCTTACTTCCTTCAGATAACATGTGAAATCTTCTTAAAAGACAAATTACCAGCAGCTTAAAGACAGCTTAAAGTTAAATATCTAGTTAGAATTTGTTGAAATTATATCTGTATTAAAATTAGCCCTCTTGGAAAATGTTCTTTGTAGGTGACAACTAGCCTTATTAGTGGCTCTATATGAGGTTTTCTATGGTCCACTTATTTTGATAATAATTACTGCATTCATTAAAAAACTTCATGATTTTGCAGGCAAAGCTGCAGCTGAAAATGAAAATTGATTTTTTTTTTATATAATTTTCCAGAAATTTTGAATTCCAAGAAGAAATCCTATGCAGAGCTAGCAAGACAAGTAAACACTAACAAGATTGAGATTGACAAAACAAGAGATCAACTGGAAAACCACAGGAGGGGCAGAGAAGATAATGGTAAATAGAGTTATTTCCCCTTGGTCATATCAGTCATCAATATATCATTCATTTTGAGTGGCCATTATATGTGAAATTAAAAGAAACTGAAAATTTGGAGGGTGCAGTAACAGTTTTGAGGGGCCCTCTCCAGAATTGTCCCTGGGAAAGGTGATGCTATCACACAATGACACATAACCCGACTTTATAATTGTTACAGGACCCCACTATAACGAGGAAGGGGATACAATCAGATATTGACACATAACCCGACTTTATAATTGTTACAGGACCCCACTATAACGAGGAAGGGGATACAATCACACAATGACACATAACCCCACTTTATAATTGGTACAGGACCCCACTATAACGAGGAAGGGGATACAATCACCCAATGACACATAACCCGACTTTATAATTGTTACATGACCCCACTATAACGAGGAAGGGGATACAATCACCCAATGACACATAACCCGACTTTATAATTGTTACAGGACCCCAATATAACGAGGAAGGGGATACAATCAGACATTGACACATAACCCGACTTTATAATTGTTACAGGACCCCACTATAACGAGGAAGGGGATACAATCATACAATGACACATAACCCCACTTTATAATTGTTACAGGACCCCAATATAACGAGGAAGGGGATATCATTATCAGTGAAGAAGAGTTCTTTGAGATCAAACGTCTCAAAGACCACAAACTCCAATACAAGAATGATTTCGAGGAACTGAAAAATCTTAAAGCAGAAGTGCAGTATTGTCAAAAGCTTGTGGAACAGTGCCGACAACGCTTGGTGCACGGTAAGTGTCCCGGTCATATTCACATGTAGGAGGAATCAGGCAGACCTGATTCTTGTATTAACTCATTTACCCCTGAAGACACCTTTGAACACCTCCAATTCAAAGATTGTAATAGTTCATTATGAAATTTCAGGGGTGAATGAGTTAATAAGAGCCTTGTTTAAGTTAAGTAATAGCCTTTAGCTGTTCATTTGGGGAATGGTTTTTCCTAAATTATGAAACTCTGGAGACAAAAGAACTGGATTTGCTGACACTGTGTGATATCATTAATTGGTGCTGGAGGAGTTAGTTATTGGGACAAAATTATCCAATTAAGAAGAAAAAATCAACTTCATGCATAAGGAACCACTTTAGAGGCTTTAAATAGAAACAGATAATTTGTATTAACAGAATTCAGAATTACAGAATCAGGCTACATGTATTGTATTGTTATGCACTGATCAACACTTCCAAACTAGATTAATTAATATGTGTCATTTACAAATTTTAAAGAAAAATATTACTGAATATTTAAAGGGTTTAATGTCAAATATAATTATCAAAGTTTAATCAATTTTAGATTTTAAACAAACCATTAAATTTAGTGAATCTCTATTCCTCAAAGTGATATGAGCTGAAAAGGATGTTTGTAACAGGTTCATCAGACAAAAACGAGGGAATTTTGTTTGTGTTTACAGAGTTTGACAACTGGTACTCTGAGAGTTTCGTGGGTCCTTCTGATGAAATCCAGACTAGCATTGCACAAGGGCATGGAGTCAGACCTGGAGCACACCTCCCCTTCAACCCGAACACGATCGTAAGTCTACAGTCTTGAATGTAGTAAAAATAAAAAAGGAAGTAAAATGTTATGTAAATAAATGAAGAGAAAATTTCCATTCTGATTACACCTGATTATTTCATGATTATGTCAGGGATTGCCTGATACTGTATGACATAGAAAAACAGTAAAAGATAGATACCTGATATTAAGTATAAATTATCTCCCCTTATACAGCCTGAAGATGAACATGAGAAGTTTGACCGCCTCCAGATGGAGCTGCTGATGAATAACCCAGACTCCGCAGCTTTCTATAACGCCCAGATGAGGACTCAGAGAAGGGTTTGTTGATTTTTAACTTGTTTTTGAAATGAGGACATTTTTTATTGAAATCGTTTGGACTTTCATCTCAACAGATCTTGTTTTTTTTTTCAATTTTAATTTTCTCACTGTTATAGTGAATCTAAAAAATTAATTCACATAAAAATATTTTTTATGTGTTTTCTCAGTAAGCTAAATATTACAAATGAAAATTTACATCTTCCATAAAGCTTGATCTGAATGTTGTTGAAATTATGAGAGGTTTTATGGAAGTAGCCGTAAGTTTATGGCCAAAAATTAAGTTTTGCTAATATATAACATTTCAGTTTTGCCACTGTGCTATATTTATGAGTGAGATGTATTTTGTTAAACAATTTTAAAGTTTCCCTTGCTACATGACTTATTCTATTTATTTATTTTTAAACGAATGCAGCATGCTATTTATATATTTCTCATTTTCATAATTTCGTATTTCAGAAAACTTATGAAACTGCGATGTCCCAGCCTCAGCCAAGCTTCAGGAAATCTCCTGGCACTCCCACCATGTCGATAAGGAACAAACCACCAAACATGTTACAAGTCAGCATGGGATAAAACATGTTACAACACTTCTGATTGGACAATTTTCCAAATTATATCTGAACTACTTCTGTGATCATGACTCTGATTGGTTACAGGATGTATTGTTTTTTAATCCAGCAATGCTGCCTGGATTAGAAGTACGCTGTGAATGGTGTACATTTGTACGTACAGATGTAGCAGACTGTGATAGGACTTAGTAGGATAACACTGCAGACTCGGTGGAATAAAGTATCTAAACTTGTGATTAAGCAGGGACTTAAAATACAATTCAAAAGCTATTTAATGCAGTTGACATTTTCAGCATTATATGTGTATGTGTAGCATACACACAGCCCAACATAGGTGGCAGATGTTTCAGGTAATTTCTGGACAAGTTAAAGTCATTAAGATCGTTAAACTGCTGTGAAAGCCAACTTGTGCCTTTGTTTGGTATAAATAAATGCAAGCTTCCATTTTCCGAATGATTCAAGAATTTTAAAACTGCTCTGCAATTAATTCAGTCAGCTTGTTTACTTATCTTGCAAAATCATCACCATTTATTTGCAAGTTTGTTATGGAATAAAGTATCAGTGTTTGATCTGCTGTTTAGTCTGTGTTTTGGCATGCTCTTTGATATAAAGTCATGCCAGCATTCTATGATCTGAAATCTCATAAAATAGTATTATAATGGTAGATACTGAAGAGTTATGAAATGGACAGGATAAAGATATGACATTTAAATTTCCTTTTGTTAAGGTCTTTTTCAGTTCCTGTTAATGTATAATATTGAATTTAGTTTTATCTTGTTAATATATTTCCATGTTCATACTTGTACATATGTGTTACATGTGGCCAGAGTTGTATTATAAAATTATCAATATGTTTCAATTTCCACATGGAGATAGATTCAGAAAATTTGTTACTGAAAATATGAATTACCATAAATAGAAAATAATGATATATATTTATATTGTTTATATATATTCGTTTTGTAACAGGTGTTTTGCACAATGCACCTGGATTGCTTTTTACTGTTTCCTTTGGTAAATTTTTTAAATTCGATTTTTCTTTCAAAATCAGTTCATATCGAGTCTTTGCTGTGCAGATATTCAATAAAGATTAAAAAAATAATGTTGAACATGTTTTGTGCTAATAATTATCTGACATAATCATGTAGCTATTTTAAACGGTACATCAAGGTAATGGTATTTATTGAAGTAGCTTTTATTTCATTATTGAGCTATTTCCTTTTGTTTATTTGTTCAAGGGAACCGCCCAAGATCACAGTATTTGTTGACTACTAAGGGATTTTTTTCTGTTTTATATTTAAGATACACTAATGTACCTTTTATTTATCACTGCATTTTTAAACAAAACTTGCACGGACTGATTTTATTGACCAATCACTGGACATAAGATAAGGTCAGTAAGTAGATTAGCTCATTAAAATAACTGGTATTCTGTGCAAGATATTTTATTTTGCAGAAATTGGCCTGGAGAGATGGTTACAAATTTAAATACCTTGCAAATATTTATATTCGGACACTTTTAAAAGACGATATGTTGCTACAAGTATGTACTAATGTAGTATTACTGTTTTTGTCACACTTCACAGATCTTTCATGTGTAAACCCAAAAAACAGAAATTCAAGAAAATGAAGTCATTTACATTACATGATATATACAATGGGTATATATAATGATTTAATTTTCATGTAAGTGTTTATAAATATATATTGTGTGGAATCCTCCACATATACTTCTAATCATGCAGGGCAAAATAGACCAAGAGAAAATATTGATGTGATTGGCTTGACATCAAACATAGCTTTGAATATCTAATAACTAGATGTTTATTTATATATGTATCTGTAAGGAAGTTGTATACTTCAAGTTAACGTTTTAAATGATAGTCCAAGACATTCACACAAAATTATTCAATTTAAAATCACTGAGAAATTTGATATATTTAGGACAAAACAACTTTAAATTGAAAGTAAAACTTGAATTTCTATAGAATTTTTTTAATGTCATAATGATGTAGCACCAGTACTACTGAGGTTATTTCATTTTGTGTAACTAGGTTTTTCTGTGAAATGTCCTTACCCTATAATCCAACATGTAGGTGCATACTTTGTCAATTTACAGTTTAATTGTGAAGGTGACATTGAATGAAATTATGTGAATATACTATTTTGTTTGTGTTTTAATTTTCAACCCAGATGACATCGTTATAGATATCAGGAATCGGGGAGTACTCCTTCAATAAAAGAGGGACCCATATGTGTTCTGGTGTCACAGGTGTCAGCTGGTGTCAGAGGCCGCCACGTGAGACACAGGGACCTGAGAATTTGTTACAGCTACATGTATATTTGGACCGTAACTAAGGTGTTCGAGTAAGTTCAATGACTTAGGGGTTTACATCAACTTTTGATATAAATGCCACCCCCAATGAAATATATTAAGTATATATCATCATTGGAGGGTTTTACATAAAATGTGTAAAATTGCCCTGAGCACCTTAGTTTAGTTTAGGTCCAAATTTAGCCGTTACAAATTCTCAAGTCCCTGCGAAGTGAGAGATAAAGACATGGATCATGGCACTGTGCTGCATGTTTAGTCACATGACTGACGTCATTCTAATGGAAAAGGTGGCTCTATGACTAATAGTTGTACTACTTAGTCGTACGATACTACTTAGTCGTACGTCATACGGCACTACTTAGTCGTACGTCGTACGGTACTACTTAGTCGATACTATTTAGTCGTACGGCACTACTTAGTCATACGTCGTACGGTACTACTTAGTCGTATGTCGTACGGTACTACTTAGTCGTACGTCGTACGGTACTACTTAGTCATACGTCGTACGGTACTACTTAGTCGTACGTCGTACGGTACTACTTAGTCGTACGTCGTACGGTACTACTTAGTCGTACGTCGTAAGGTACTACTTAGTCGTACGGCACTACTTAGTCATACGTCGTACGGCACTACTTAGTCATACGTCGTACGGTACTACTTAGTCGTACGTCGTACGGTACTACTTAGTCGTACGTCGTACGGTACTACTTAGTCGTACGTCGTACGGTACTACTTAGTCGTACGTCGTACGGTACTACTTAGTCGTACGTCGTACGGTACTACTTAGTCGTACGTCGTACGGTACTACTTAGTCGTACGTCGTACGGTACTACTTAGTCGTACGTCGTACGGTACTACTTAGTCGTACATCGTACGGTACTACTTAGTCGTACATCGTACGGCACTACTTAGTCGTACGGTACTACTTAGTCGTACGGTACTACTTAGTCGTACGTCGTACGGCACTACTTAGTCGTACGTCGTACGGTACTACTTAGTCGTACGTCGTACGGTACTACTTAGTCGTACATCGTACGGTACTACTTAGTCGTACATCGTACGGTACTACTTAGTCGTACATCGTACGGCACTACTTAGTCGTACGGTACTACTTAGTCGTACGGTACTACTTAGTTGTACGTCGTACGGCACTACTTAGTCGTACGGTACTACTTAGTCGTACGTCGTACGGTACTACTTAGTCGTACGTCGTACGGTACTACTTAGTCGTACGTCGTACGGTACTACTTAGTCGTACATCGTACGGTACTACTTAGTCGTACATCGTACGGTACTACTTAGTCGTACATCGTACGGCACTACTTAGTCGTACGGTACTACTTAGTCGTACGGTACTACTTAGTTGTACGTCGTACGGCACTACTTAGTCGTACGGTACTACTTAGTCGTACGTCGTACGGTACTACTTAGTCGTACGTCGTACGGTACTACTTAGTCGTACGTCGTACGGTACTACTTAGTCGTACATCGTACGGTACTACTTAGTCCAATGGTACTTCTTAGCCGTTCGATCCATGTGCGACATGTGTGTGAAAGTGACGATTTTTTTCTAAAATATCAGTTTGAAGTGTGCTCCGGGCGCGGGTCGCGTATTTTCCGCATATTATAGAGGGCCGTAGTTCTGACATTAATCGACAACCGATATAAAAAACAGTCGATAAAACCACATAATAATTCGGACTAGGTTTTGAACAACTGAGTCAAGATCTTTTCCCAGAATCAAACAAAATTAATAATACCCGAGACATATAATTATATGTCTCTGATAATACTGCAAAATTTCAAACCAATGCTCCAAATATGTCTATTAAGACGCTCTTCAAATCAACCTAGATATAGAAAATGGAACAAAATGAAGATTCTTGCATCTAATGTTAAAGCCATTTTGTGAATTTTTCGGAAAGCACAGTGTTCCAGATGTTCCTGAAGGCACATGTGGGGCGTCGGGTGGCATTGAATAGCGCACTCGCCTTTCATCGAGACAGCCGAAGTTCGATTTCCGGTCGGGTAAGGTATACGTATTGGGTACTGCCCGACCACGTGGGTTTTCTCCGGGTAATCTGGTGTCCTCACACATTTAGACCTTCTGCGTGCTTCCTTTCTGGCAGGGATGTGTAGTGGAGGGATACGCACCTTCCTCTTTGCCTTAGTAAATATGTTCCGAGTGAGGTTGGCTTATCTCCCTTGATCAGTGTTCTATGATACCAGCGCCCCATAGCGGACAAGTTATGGCTATATCAGAGCGTGGTTGAAGCGTTAAATTGGTGTGTAAACCAATAATAATGAGTATTACTACATTTTTTGTTTATCTTGTTGTTGTAGGTTGTTTATATTACATCTGGTGGAAGTAATAGATTGTGTCACAGGACCCGATGTATTGATTTATTGATCTTTTTTTTTTCATTTTCTGTGTCAGTGTTCAACGTCAACCGGATGTTGTTTTTTGAGATTCGAGATTTTGTTTTGCTAACCCAACAAAGTTGTGTTTCTAATTCCTCCTCAACGGAATGGTTTACATTAGAATGAAGTATATCTATGGAAAGCTTAATTAATTTAATTTTGTATGGGGGTAATCTTATGGCGTCGAGTTATTATTAATTTGTGTTCTTTTTGTTTCAAAAAGAGCTAATGTTTGTATCACTTTGCATCAGAAATGGCGTCATTTTCAGTGAAACCATGTTGTCATCCCACTGTTAAGATCAAATTTTCTTCCAATAAATTCCAACATTTTTCAAGCAACGGATATCAATAAAAAGATGAGTAATTTTTGTATTGTGTAGACCCGAGTTTATTTGTCCCTGTCAGTATTTTTGTTTTTATTGGTCAGAAACTGTTCGCTATGTTACAAACTTTTTTGTAAACATTTGAAATTTTTGGGTGGAAAAAAATCTCAGTACCACCCATTTTGTGTTTCAAATTTCTTCCAAAGTGTTTAATCAAGCTTTTCAAAATTAACGGCAATGTAAAGCTTAATAAATTTTATTTTGTAAGGGAGTAGTCTTATGAGTTATTATTAATTTGTGTTATTTTTGTTTCGAAAAGAGCTTCTGTAATATGTTTGTATCACTTTGCATTTGTTATTTTCAGTAAAACCATGTTGGCATCTCTAGATCAAATTTTCTTACAATAGGCCTATATTCCACAAATTTTCAAACGTGGGATATTAATAAATTAAAAAGATGAGTAATATTTGCAGGTGTTATTTGTGGTATGTCAGTGTTTTTATTGGTCAGGAAACTGACCACTACAGTACTGTGGCAGTACCCAATCCGGGACACTTGTGGGAAAGGGTCTAATGAAAATGGCACGTAATACAAACAAGCAATTTTATTTTTGTAATTTTTATTTAATGATACTCTGAACTGTATGCCGACTTATTTGACTGCCGAATCTGCGCGATTACAAGGGTGTACAATTTAATATATTGAGTACTAGTCCACTAAACATCCCTGTCAAAATCGTCGTCTGAAATGTCCGACTCACTATATTCTGTAAACTCTCCAAGCAAGTGTTCTAAATCTATGTCATCATCCCAAGAGAGAAAATCAGACGTGGACATGCTGTGTGATTCATGATGAGACAACTTTAAAAGCGCTGAAGTAGCCTATCCGATCGTGAAATGCTATGAACCGACTCCCTCAGAGTCCACACAAAAATACAGCACAAACTCAAGATACAGACGATAATATCTCCCGACACAACTACTATACAGCTAGATATGGTGGCAACGATAACATTTCTCCTGTAATAAAATGAAGACCTACTAATACACAGCCCAGTAAACTTGGATAACCGCAATGAAAACACTTCGATCAGCGATGTGTTGACATGACACCGGAAGCAAGTGCTAGTATAACCTGACATTAGTGCGCAAGCGCAGACCGGTCAGAGTAGGCTCTCGTTTGACTTTACGGTCCAGTGAACAAACACAAAAGCGACGATAAGTGTTAGACTCGGAGTTGCAAATCTCTCCACTACACATTACATCCCTGTTGGTATCAAAACGACATAGAGTACAATATATGGATTTAAAAGTTTTACCAGATAGTATATATTTCATCTTAATTTCCTTTCAAATTCTGCATTTATTGTGATAAATTAGTTAGGTTTTGAACAACTGAGTCGAGATCTTTTCCCAGAATCAAACAAAATTAATAATACTGCAAAATCTTAAACCAACGCTCCAAATATGTCTACTACACATCCCTGATTCTGGCCAACAAAAGTAATTTATTATTATTATTATTATTTCCTTTATTTCCTCTAGAAATGAAGAGTTACAGAAATAACGAACAATACACGTACAATTCAACACTATTGAAAGAGAAGAAAATGCATTCACAATCATGGTCACACCCTTACATAGTGACACACACATGCACATGGACAGACACACACATAAGAGAATAATAATAGTTCCCGCATCATACCATAAAGTACTATAAACATAACACAATGATTTAATAGGTACTATTACAGTCATTATACGGTGATAATTATGATGATAGACAGTATAACACTAATCATACATTACATCACATATTGATATAATATACATATTTACACTCCTCAAACTACATTATCATATAATAGTATAGACAGTAATACACTTCTCGTACTAAGCAATCATACAACATTGTAATAAACAATATTACAAGCATCACACTATACATTATACAGTATTATTATAGACAGTATTACTGTTACATAAGTCTTACAATACAATCATACATTGAGTAGAACCCGTTGCACGAAGTCATACAAGTCGGGAATACTTTTTCGATTTTCTTTGTAAAATAAATAAAA